AAAAAAAAAAAACAACTGAAGTGAAATGGATGAAATTATGACGTGTAGGTTTGAAACTGTTATTGAAAATTGTTCCACAAACGAACCACACACACACATCAAACAAAAACGAAGCACATATACCCATACATACGAGTACAAATAGTTGCAAACATATACACTTACGTACGTACACATGCGGTATCATCCACACATTCATGAGGCATGTATGTATAATGCGCGTATGTTTAACTGTCTTTAGATTTCTGCTACCTCGCATGTCAGTCCCTCCCTGGCCTCTTTCACTTTATCGTTCCTTTGGCTTCTGTTATCTTTTAATGTAGCCAAGGGTCATAACAAATATGTATCCATTATTTGACATTAAACGTAGGCAACGCAACTTGGTAAAATAAGTCTCATGAAAGATAACAGGCAGATAGTCTAATACCTTTAGTGCACTGAGATGTGTAGACATTCTATGGAAAATGACATATAACCAATTTCATTTGAAGGTTGTCTCTCATGTTAAAAATAGTCATTGGTAATCAGGCTCGCGGGTCGGTCAAAATGCCTTCGCGGGCCGAATCCGGCCCGCGGGTCGTAGATTGCCGACCCTTGATTTACACTATTTAGTGTTTATACTGCTATTTATTGATTATTTATTGTGATTTATTGATTATATTGTTTATTTACGTTATTTATGGTTGGCAAAACATCCACCAATTGTCAGTTGATTCAAACTTTATAAAATGGTAAATAATAAAGATAATATATCCTTATAATTGGTTCACATATTTTAATCATTAAGTAAATGTTTATAAATTTATGAATGAAAATGTTCTCACATTTATTTCTTTATAAATTGGTAAATGATAAACATTACATTCCATTATTTCTAATTGAATTTGGTTTTTTAGAATATTGTAAATATAAAATTATTCTTGTAAATAAACAATCTAGTAAATATATATTTATAAATATAAAATATTTTTATTGTAAATTCTCAAGAACAAAGACAATTGCATAAATTCACATTCATGATGTATTTAGGTGTTATTACTGTTGTAACTTAGAGAAGGTTACTGAATAGAATAATCAAACGAAGGTTGGTAATGAACGATAATACTTAGGACAAGAACAACACGTATAAGATTCGCCAGCGGCGCGTAGAAGTAGTAGTCAACTGCTAGAAGTGAGTCAAGTGAATTCCACAATGAATCTCTAACAGCAAGATATCTACCAACCGCCACACGCAGTCAGACTGGGCCCAAAATTCCCCATAGACACCGGGTCGGTTAGCTGTTTCCCGACACGAGACTCTGCTCTTCGATATAGCCTCCTCTGAGAATCCTCTTTGTCCGCAGGCAGAGAGTTTGACCAGCAGAGCTAGAGATGAATCTCCAGCCGCAGACTAACATACAGTATTTACTACTGTATTTATGCGACTAGGGACAAACCCATTATCGTCCGTAGGCATGTTACAACAATTACAATTCTAATCATCGCTTTATAAAACAATAAACATTGATGGCGATGATGAAATTCATAATAAAAACCATATATTTTTGACAATGATTCCGAATCTGATCGTATTCAATTTATATCTGGAAAAATAAGATTTAATTTGAGAAATATTTTTTTCAAAAATTTCTCTTAAACAATAAATTATAAAAATCCTAAATTAGAAATATTGATAAAATTTAAAAAAGCATATTTAATCAATTAAATAAAGCGTATTTTGTCCATTATAATACAAATATATTTTAAAAAAAGGATTTTTCGACAAATGCGCACTTTATTTTTTTGGTTTCAGAAATTTGTTAATTCCAACATAAGAAAAATTTATTTAGATTAAATTATGAAAAATAAATAAAAAGCTAAAAGCATAGATTCTCCCCAATAACGACAGATTTTGAAATTTTGCAAAACTTTGATAATTTCTTCCTTTGATAATTTATTCAATTAAATGCCCAAACCTCACGCGGAACTGATATGCACGATCAATCACGAGAAAGCTGGCGAGATTTTATGCTTTTCTTTAGAAGGATAAATACAATTTTGTTGGAGGATGATTCTCTTTGTAGCCATGTCGTCAAAAGCATATTGGGTAAAATAGTGATTTCCCCTACAAACAGATATTGCTGGAGATCACATATTGAAATTTAATTTTTCCTGATTTCCTCATGGGAATAGACGTAATATATATACTGCTATAAAACATACAATAAAAAATGAGTCGATTGTTCAAACACTGGTATACACGAAATAAACGTTGTAAGTAATATATATATATATATATATATATATATATATATATATATAATTATTTATTTAAAAAATATGATTCCAAAACGCGACATAAGAAGTTCTCATGTTTAAAAACAAGAGCCAAAAACTTCAATATAATTATTTAATATTAAATTCTTTTAATTTAATTAAATCTGTTCCATCTCCAAGCAAATTTTTTTTTTTTGGAATAACGTATATCTGAAATCTTTTTGTTTTAAAATTTGAATCAAAATTTCCATGGTAACAGCTAGGGCGAATTGTTTAAATTGGGTAGGCGAGTGTTAATTGTTAATAATAAGTATCAGTATAGAGTTACTTTCATAGATGTCAAGTCAGGGAAAGTTGGGGATGTCTAAATTTTAAACGGAAGATGTATTAACCCTCGACTAGTTTGCATGTCTATGGAGATTTTTTTTTTTTATTTTTTTTTTAAAATTTTTTTTTGCAAAAAAAAAATCTGTCGTAACGTTTTTTTTCACGACTTTGGATAAATAATGGGTTATCTTTTTTGAAGGGTATTTAAACTATTTATTTCAATGGATATATATATATATATATATATATATATATATATATATATATATATATATATATATATATATATATTTATATATCAATTATATTAGTTAATATATATATATATATATATATATATATATATATATATATATATATATAAATTTATTAAGGATAGAATCCATCTAGAACTCAATGTCCAGATTTGTAAGATTTAATTTTGTAATGAAAAAAGACATTAGTTCCATTTCATCTTCAGGCGAATTAAAAGTCATTCATATTGAGGAGGAAATGGACCTAATGTCTTTAATTTAATTACATAATTATTTATAAAATTAATTTCATGTAAATTTACATTGATCACTATTTCCAACCAAAAATACAAAAATATCTATAAGAACACTGGATTATATATCTTACTGTTCTTTTTTTTCTTTTATATATATATATATATATATATATATATATATATATATATATATATATATATATATAATAATAAAGATATAATGTTAGCGTAAAAGTGATCAAAATCAGTGATAGAGCGTATGTATATATAAAAGTGGACTCTGAGGTCAACATCAGCAGCGATGTTTTTATGTTTTGAACGCAATCTCCGGGTCATTCAGACGTCCCAAAGTTCTGCAGATTGTATTCAAGCATAAAACAGTTTTTTTCGTTGATGATCTCAAATGACATCTTTTATATATCATAATAATTATAATTCAAAAAATTAAAAAGAAGAAACCTCAATAGAATGCAGATTTAATTTGGAAGGCCGTAAAAATAAATAAACTCATCAGAAGTGCGTATTATTAAATTAATTATTGAAAAAAAACAGTTACGATAGGAAATTTCAAACGCCATATCAGCTATACCCACGGGACTCATTGGCGAAAATATTAACGAATTAGACTCGATATAGCGTCGCAAGTATCATATTACGTGGTGGAATTCATTGAACCATTTCTCTTTTACCCATAGGACTGTGCCTCCACTAATTTGAAATTTATTCAATCCGCTCAGTCAGAGCATTTGAAGCCGGTTCAACCAAGGAGATAAATATATAAAAATAGTTTGAGTTTTTTTCTAGACTCGATGAATTACTTAATTATAATTATTTCAAATTGTTTAATTATATTATATATATATATATATATATATATATATATATATATATATATATATATATATATTTATAAAAATGATAATATAAATTTAAAAAATATCTTTAAAATTGTCGAACTTCATTAAAAATAATTTTTGTCATTAATTTTTTTACATTTGGTTACGCATCGAGCAAATATGAATGTTTTGAAAAATCATGGAAATTTTTTTTTTAAAAACAGTAAAATTGAACTTGTTAACAAAACGCTCCTTTTTTATTATTGTTTAAAAAAAGCACGTCAGGCTATATAACTGTTTTTATATTTACAGGTTCGATGAAATTTTTTTTGGCAATTTCTCGAACATTCAGGCCGGTATATGTTGTTAATACTGTTTATTATAAAAAGAGCATTTGCTTAAATATTTGTATCTATAAAAAAGAATCTATAAACATAAAAATGTCTTATATACATATAACATGGACTGGACTGAAGGAACGTATCTCCCTAAAAAATTGTTTTAATAGAAAGAAATAATATTTAACCGAAAGCAGTACTCAGCTACTCGATCAGTGAATGCCAAATGATTCCGTGTAACGACTAATATTACTGTTACTCTTAACAATAACAAATTATTAATTAGATGCAAAAGGCGTTGATATATTAGTCGAATAAAGTCCTAATTCCACAAAACAGTATTTATTCTGATAAACACAAAATTGGCACTGGTATTCAGAAGACTTAAATATAGCAAAATCAACTGGAATTGAAACTCTCTAAATTCCAAATCCGAGCATCCATTCCTCTACCCGCACTTGTTTAACTTACCTTATTATTGCTTGGTTGGTTATTTGCCAGATTATCAACCTTTTACAGGTTATTTAAAGCCAGAAAATATTTTTGGAATTTGTTTTGGTGGGGTTAGATAATAATATTTTATTGATATAAGTCATACTAATTAACCCATATCTGGAGGAGAAGTGATAGATTCATACCTTTCGCAAGGTTATTTGCGTGTAAGTGAATATAAGGAAACCAACGGCAACTGGAACGCGGCTCTCTGATTAACAGTTCCTAGACGTTACCCATTACGCCACCTGCACATCTAAGCTTACAGCACCTGTATTCACAAACGGTCACCCATCTAGGTACTGGGCAGGATCGACGTTGCTTAACTTTGGTGATCGTTCGGGAAGCGGCGTTTCAACGTGATATGACCGTAAAAAAAGCATAAAAATCAATAAAAGATTTTTAATTGCATGCGTGAAGACAAACTTTATTTGCGTTTACTCAGCCGGCATTGAGAATCGTTACCGCCGCTTTAACAACGAATCTGCCCCAGGCTTCGCATAAATGCATTATAAATGCGCATATGCTGTGTATGCTTCCTCATAGGGCCCCTGCAAAACAGTAGCAACAAATACCATTCGATGTCAGAACAGTGAAGTCAAGGACAAATATTTTCTTTACACAGCACGGTATTGACTTGTATGTTTAAAATTTGAGCAATTTTTATAACAGGCGTTCATTCTATTAATTTATCATTCCCATCTCTAAAATGTTTTTTTTTATTTTTTTCTCTCTCTACACACACACACTCTCTCTCTCTCACCTTATATATATATATATATATATATATATATATATATATATATATATATATGAATAAAAAATGACAATAGGAAAACTAGTAATTGCTGACGCCAATGTGGACTTTATCATATCAAAAAAATACGAAAATGAAATTAATTGAATAAAGTAACTAATAAAAAAAAAAACAGAATGTTCCTAGCAACTGGAATGTAGAAAGCTTTTTTTTTCATTAGTTAACTGAAAAATAACGTCAGTATTTGTCACGTGTGGAGAATATTTTCATTGTATCTGTGTTAATGTATTCAATGATCAAAAAAACGAATTTATGAATCTGTTGTGTATATTTGTTTGTAAGAGCAGTAATTTTGTTAAGAAAGGTGAAATCTTTAAAAAACCTGGGCGTAGATTAATATTTATAATTTATATATATATATAATTTTTAATATTTATATTTATCAACACAGATATAATGACAATATTCTCCACACGTGACAAATACCCAGTCTGTGCTGCTATTTACCCATAGCTGGAGGGAGAAGAAGATGATTCACACCTTTCCTAAGGGTATTAGCACCTAAGTGAATGTAATGGATTTGACTGGAATTCGAACTCAGCTCTCCGATTTCCTCAAATCTATATATATATATATATATATATATATATATATATATATATATATATATATATATATATGTATATTTATAGTTCGATCATCAGTCTAACAGTTCTTTTCCTATAATATCAATATATACACACACACACATAATACACACACACACACACACACACATATATATATATATATATATATATATATATATAGCAGTTAATGCTATAATTCTGATATACATATATATATCTATATATATATATATATATGTGTGTATGTGTGCGTGTTTTAATGTATATTTTGAGACAATTTTTATGTTCATGCGTTCTTTTTTTGATACAAATATTTAAGTAAATGCTATTTTTTTATAATAAACACTATTAACAACATTTATATATATAATGTCGATAAATTTTCATATGAAATTATATGATAGATTTTGGGAGGAAAAAGATATCGTCGTGACGCAAACATACATACAATAATGTACACCTGTTGAATAAAGACGCACACACACATTTGAAATTTTAAACAAAATCATATCCAAAATATAAAAATATATCAAAAATATTAAAAATTATAAAAATAAAAAATAAAATAAATAATTATATATTATATATATATATATATATGTATATGTGTATATATGTATGTTGTATATATTTTGTGTGTGTGTGTGTGTGTGTGTGTGTGAAAATATATAGAAAATAGGAAGGATTTTCGTTAGGTAAATAATTCAAAAAAATTTTTTTTATTTTTTTGTTATTAATTTAAAAAAAAATAGTGCTTCGATACAAAAAATTAGCCCATAAATATAATTAAAATTTGGATTCAAACGTTTACATATTTCATCTTTTTGGAATCAAAAAGAGAAAATGATAGAATACAATTATATACAAGTTTTTTCTTAAAAAAAAAACATGAAAATTACCAAAAAAGCTTCATCAGAGAATGAGAAATGATTTTAAATAAATAATTATATATATATATATATATATATAACATGGTAAATCTACACATGCAAATTAAAATGCATATACATTCGTAGATATGAATGTAAATGAATAACAACTGCTGCAAAATTTAATTTATAACCACAATTTCATAAAATTCGAGGAAAGCATTAATTTTTCAACACTATACTAGCATTTTCATCCGATACCAAAATTAGCACAATGTTGAAATCAGGATCTTGTTTATTCTACGAAGACAAAATAAGATTCGCACATGAAAGATTACATCACCTGGTATCCAGATTATTTTTACCATCTTGTCATTTGATTAACTACGGCTAAGATGATATATAAATTTGTATACCATAGATAGATAGATAGACTGCGAAAGCAGATAGATAGATTACGAAAACACACAGATAGATAGATAGATAGATAGATAGGCATGAATGAATAGCTAGATAGCTAAACAGATAGATAGATAGATAGATAGATAGATAGATAGATAGATAGATAGATAAACTGCGAAAACATAAATAGATAGATAGACAGGCATGAATAAAAATCTAGATAGATAGGCATGAATAAATAGCTAGCTAACTAGATAGATAGAAAGATAGAGAGATAGATATGAAAACTGAGATCGATAAATAGATAGACTGCGAAAATACACATAAAGAGAGACCTTAAATAATAAATTTTTTTTAAAATCTATATTTTTGTTTCTTCTCTCTCTCTCTCAATTCTCTAACTTTTTTTAAAGAAGATTTTTCTATCTACCTATCTATCTATGAACCTATGTGTTTTTGCATTTTATCTATCTATTGGGGCGCTGAAAAGTTCTTAGATTCCAGAAATATGCAACTATCTGTATCCGAAATTAGTCGTTCCCATGATGTTTTTAACCCAGCTAAAAATAAATATATATATATATATACAGACAAAATACATATCATACTCACTCAAACCCTAAGAACCAAATAACACACACACAAACACTAAACAGAGACACATCCCCTCACCAGGTCCAATAAAACTGTCAAACTGACCAGAGAATTCAGAATAATATGTGTATCTATCCAGCTCTTATTTCAGATAACAACTTAAAAGAGACTGTTTGACCAACACAAAGAATGTTAAAAGATTCATGTTAAAAAGATAAGAAAATAAAAAATAAAAAAACAAATGAAAACTACAGACAAAAGTTCATTTTCTCCATCAAGACATTTATTTCTGTAGTTCACTGCTACCAGCAAGCAGAAATATTTCTCATCCCGATGATGGCCATTTCGGTCGAAACTAGCCGAGGAATCTAAATGGAATAATAATAATAAACACGAACGAATATTAATCTACAACCCAGTGTGTCCAAAGATTTTAATTTTTTAATTTTTTATTTTCTTATTGTTCAATATATATATATATAGTTATGTGTGTATGTGTGTGTGTGTGTGTGTGTGTGTGTTGCGTGATTGTGTTTGTAATCCAATGCAAAAACGCCAGATATGTCTGAAGATATCTTCACAATCATGAAACTTGCAGCAACATTGCAGTATTTTTCCTCTGGCCATTTATCTTGGATTCCATTTCTCTTCTTGGCTGTTTTCTTCTTACTGGAAATCTCGAGATTGCATCTTATCAAGTTTAGGTAAGACTCATTAACTGTTCTTATTACTGTTAATTTTTTTCCTCCGGAGCCTAAGCTACGGTTCCTTTTAGTTTTTTTTCAGAGTTTCAGTAATAATCTCTCTCTCTCTCTCTCTCTCTCTCTCTCTCCACACACACACACACATATATATATATATATATATTATTTACATTATTCGGACTATTGTCCTCATCTTTGACGCCATATTTATCACAACGTTTCGGCCGTTGTACGCTCCGGCCTTCTTCCGGTGGTTGGAATTTCGAACTGAACCCTTTATTTCGCTCACTGGGTTAGATCTGTTCTAGTTTCCCCGTGCCATGTTTGATGGATGTCAGTTATCAGTTATCTCCTCAAAATTTCCATCTGAAAGTTCTCCATGCCTTAATAACCATTTTGAACTCAATTCTGGGTCCTGTCACTGGATCTAACCAACGCCTTTATCCACTGTGCCAGTTATATAAAATTAGTTGCAAAATGTGCCCATACCATCCCTAGACTTAACATCCTTCAATAATAGTTAATAAAAATGAACACGCTACCACCTCTGTCTAAATGATTGGATTTCTCTGTAACCTCGGAAACAAAAAAAATATGAATTGTATGTGCGTTTAAAACTCCGTAAATTTAAAAATAATTATTCCAAAATTCGCTTGAAGGTGAAACAGAACTAATGTTTTAATTTAATTATGTGATTAAATTTGAAGTTTTTAGCTTCGGTTTTGAAACATGTTAATTCCTGTATAGCGAAGAAACCATATTTTTAAATCAGTTAATTTATATTTATGCTCTGTAAATTTACATTGTGCACTATTTTGTAAAAATAAAAATATCAATAAGAACACCGGATTATATATCTTACTGTTATAAAGGGCTTTTTATCAATATATATATATATACATATATATATATATATATATATATATATGATGTGTGTGTGTGTTTTGTGTGTGTGTGTGTTACTCCAAAATTCGCTTGAGGATGAAATGGAACTAATGGCTTTAATTTAATTACAAAATTAAATTCGGAGCTTTTAATATATATTAATCAAGTCGACAAAAACAAGGAGAGTAAATTGTCTACTATAAAAAATTTAAAACTGCAAACGTCATCGTCAACAACAACCTGCACCATCCAAATGTCAGAGAACCAATATTATTTATGAATTCACATGTCCCTTAAGGAACTCTGTTCCTGATCAAACCAAATTCATAAATAATTATATTGGATATACTACAACATGCCTAAAAAGAAGACGCACGTTACGTCTCTCTGACCATAGCTCAATTACGTCTCATTTAAATACCCAGGGGGACCTATCAAACTCCATCTGCAACATACTCATTGATAAAACAAATATAATATTTTCACCCACATGTAAAAACAAGGCTAAAAGTAATAGAAGCATTATTTATAAAA